CAGTACAGCACACATGACAACACATAAACTAACAATCAGACACAATGGACCACAGTACAGTGCACAGAGAAAACAGTACAAACACAGGGTAACACATAGGGCCACAGTAGATGTACACAAAGCATTTAGTGTTGTAAAAACATCAGCCATATAATACACAAAACACATGGCCTAAAGATACAACAAAGATAATTAAAAAGCAATAAATTATATTTGACACACAGAATTCATGCATCACATTATGTCAAAGCATGCTGAGCACACAATAAAAAGCAAGCATCAAGTATTTAAACACTGACATAAAGGTAAAATCTGATATCTTTAAAATTAATCAAAGTTTATACGACATTACGTGGCACCATTGGTAAAAAATATTTCCTATTGTCTGTGTTGTGTGCACTCAGGATTTGTCTTTTGTTTTTCAATGATATCCTAAAAGCAGTCTACAATTTTGGAGATGAAATGATTTTTTAAACACAAATACATGTAAGCAGGGAATATATCACAATGGCTGCTTTATCAGCACAATTAGTCATCAGTTAATCTTTTTAAATTACAACAGACCTATATAACACAATTGCCTGTGTGAGCAGACAATTGGCCACCAGTCAGTCATTTTGAATCAAATCTGTAAAACCAAAATAAGGTCTGACATTTTATGTATGTACATTTTGTATCAATAAATCCATTCATGTCCAAAATCTGATTTTGGTGAATGTCACCACTAAAGTGGCCGCAATTCACAGCTCAATAAATTGGACCCTGAAATTGATGCAAGTGTATACGCATGTATGTGTGACGAGACGTGATGTACGTATGAAGTTTGAATTGAATATGATCCTTCAAGGTACATCTGAAAAACAAGTTTGGACATACAGACAGACGGATGTCCATATGGAGGTGAAGTCCTTGATTGTTCAAGTTATAGCAAACACAAGAAAGACAGGTTGTACAACAAAAACAGTGAACAATTTTTCTCTTGTATCTTTCTTTTCATCTAAGATATAGACAGCTTTTATTGCAATGCAGTAGTTGTTTTCATAACAAAGAACTTCAGAATAAAAGATTAAAATGTGATATAATTCCTTTACCATAAAGGTTGTGGTTTATAAATTACTGTAGCGTCAGCTGGGAATAACTTACCTTGTCTTGTTGGATACGTGTTTTCAGTCTCTCAATGTAGTCTTCTCTCTCAGTATCAACTGCACGTGTATATTTCAATAACACTTCTGCAAATTCTTCTTCTGAGATGGTGTTCATGCCTTTGGAAAACTCCATGAAGTAAGACAAGCGTTAAAGAAAAACAATGTGTCAACTAGAATATAAATTTACTTTGTACTCTTATATTAAACACTGGCAGTGGTATAACAGCAGATTGGTAAAACTCAGCCTGCAATCAACTGTCAAAAGGATATTTCCAATTCTAAAACTTCAACCTGTAAATCATCCATGAACCTGTAAAAAGAAGACAGACAAGTTGTAATTAACTTTCAGCAGTCATTCAGTAGGAAAAAATATCATGAACCTGTAATAACAATAAAAGTTCAAAGTGTGGCACACATTTTTTTTATAGTTATCAAAACGTGATTATTGTTAATAGCTCCACACAAACCATTCAAAGTTCAAGTTCACTTGACAAGTAATTGTCTTCATCGTACATTATTAGGAAATGCAAATTCTAAAGATGTAAGAATTACCCCGTATTTGCAAGATGGCGGGCATGTTTGAAAACTAAACTAAAGTTCCAATTATATCTTCACCATTTTGTTCAGTTCTGAGGTTCATACATCAAGCGGTTGTATAGACATGATGTACAATAGTAAAGTTATTATAAGGATACAGCGAGCAAATGCAATGACTTTAGCTCATTACCCCTCATACAGTACTCATTCCGCCCAACCTCCCGCTTTTATCGCTTAAGTTCCGACCGATTATCGCTCAAGTTCGACTGCTCGCTGCTTTCCGACCGGAAAATGACCGCTTTTTTTCTCGCTCGCTCGCTCGGTTTTGTTTGCTTGTTCGCTCCTGCTATGGCTGGCTTCAGAAACATTGTCCGCTTGCCAACCAACCGCTGGAGTAACGATGATCATACATTGTATGTATAGTATGAACTTATGTTTTTAATTGTAATAAATTTATGTTTTAATGACGATTCAAAATACAACGCATATTGCTTTTCTGTATTGGGAAGGGGGACAAAGACGCCTTCAAATCACTTGACACATTGTAACGTTCGCTACGCAAGTCGAACTGTGACCTGTATTTACATATTTACGTCCTTGTGTGCGTAGTTCAAGCAGCTATATAACTGGTCAATCAATCGTGATATGTATTGAGTACTAGTATTTGTGTGTAGTGTGTGTGTTTTTCTGTGTGTGATTTTGACTAAATTTATTCTGAACGGCGCTCAAAATAATTTGATACTTTGTTATTTGCGAACGCAACTCACACTATGACCCTTACTCAATTTGCATAAGTAATACGAATGCTGTAGTTCAGAAAATCTATCGGGTTAACTATTGCTTGTGTCTGGGAGCGCAACACAAAACTGCACATATAATCATCGCATAGCTGAATTTCTACAAATCAATTGGACTTAAACTACTAGTATAATGACTGTGACGATTAATCACTTGTCTGAGTACATGCGGCAACGAATTATTGGATTGGCAGCAGCCGGACGAAAAATGAAAGAGATCTCAGAACAGTTAATTGTTGAGGAAAACATAAAACAAAACAAACTCAGCCAGTGATACATTCCGAAAATAAAAATACAAAATAAACGCAATCAAAGAAGCCGACCACGCACGTTGGAAATAAATAAAACGTGTTGTGACACAGTCTCATCAAACTCTTTCACTCGCGCAATATAATTATGTTATTTCCCAAAGCACTTATATTTAATACATTGACGAAAAACATCGCAAGAAAAAAGTAAATCAGGCTTGTAATTACTAGTAACTCAACTCGAACGCAATGTTGATCACTGTAAAAGTGGATAAATTCGAACCGTCACCAAATTCAAAATTCAAACAATCTTGTTGAATGTCAATCAAAAAATAAAACTCGATGTTTAAAAAGACAAAAACAACAAATGTGCCATTTCAAAGGGAATCCTTACAAAAATGTCTGCAATTGTGTGACCATGATAACGTGCAAACAAGGAACAGAGCTAGTGGTCCACCAAGGAAACTTAGCAATGGGGCAGTTAGATGTATACGGCTGTTGAAAACAGAGACTCTTCGATCTTATATGAGGTTCACGTGGAAGCATCATTTTCAACTATTACCAACAACACTATGATAATAAAGACTTTCCGTTTTCGACATTGTGAAATTCTTTTGTTTTTATGTAGAAAAATACAGTAATTTTACCAAGTAAAATCATATTTATTGAAGTTATTGTTCATACACGAGTTGTCGAACACACTACATAGTTTGTAATTTCATCCAGCTCCTTTCAGTCACAATTCAAGACAAATAAAAGGCACAAATATAGATAATATAGCAAATTATTTTTTTCTGTAATATTCGTGTGTAATCAGTAATTATGAAATTAATTTATGGGTACATATGGAATACATTTCATTCTGAATTATTCTTAATATACATTTCTAAATTAGTTTGTCAAAATCAGTTTTTTTTCAGGGTTTTTCCCCAAAAAGGGAACAGGAAGTCATTTTTTTATTATTTATTGGGAACGGAAAGTCTTTATCGTAGTGCATCGCCTCGGTTGTTTATGAGCTCTTCGGGTCGCTAAAACTGTAAGACCACCTCTGTTGGGGTGAACATTTGTATTATTATACCGAATAAATCTTAAAACAGAAATTGTGGCACTCAATCATGGCAGTCTTCCAGGTCATCGTTAGAAAAGCGGAAATTGTCTGGTCGAATTGAACAAAGCTAGCCAATAAAAAGCAATCAAAATCCAGAAGCGGGCGAGAGTTTGGGCGAAATGAGTACTGTACATGTACTTTGTGGTATAATTTCAGTCCCTTTGTATTATCTAGATTCAGTACATTACTCTAAACAAGGTTATAAGAGAATGCTGGAGTAGAAATACACAAAATACACACTTAAGTGCATGGATGTAAAAACTGATACACTCATAATGTTGGTTCACATACCTATAAAATGTTTGGAAATCAAGAGTGTCTCTTCCTTTATGGCCAAAAAGATGTACCATCAGTGTTGTCTTAGGTGGACCTTCCAGCGACTGTTGACAATAAACAATTTAGACACCATTGGTAAGAAAAAGTAGAATTGATCAATCTTTCTGTCAATTTTTTATGTCAATCAATATTTTAGATGGCAACCTATGATGGTAATACTGGCGTAATTACTGATTACATGTGACAGTCAATCTACCCTGCCAACTGGTGAAATCACTGGATCACTGATTACATGTGTCAGTTAATTCACCCTGCAAACTGGTGAAATCACTGGGTCACTGATTACATATGTCAGTCAATCTACCCTGCCAACTGGTGAAATCACTGGATCACTGATTACATGTGTCAGTTAATTCACCCTGCAAACTGGTGAAATCACTGGTTCATTGATTACATATGTCAGTCAATCCACCCTCCCAACTGGTGTAATCACTGGATCACTGATTACATGTGTCAGTTAATTCACCCTGCAAACTGGTGTAATCACTGGGTCACTGATTACATGTGTCAAGTCAATTCACCCTCCCAACTGGTGTAATCACTGGGTCACTGATTACATGCGTCAGTCAATCCACCCTCCCAGCTGGTGTAATCACTGGGTCACTGATTACATGTGTCAGTCAATCCACCCTCCCAACTGGTATAATCACTGGGTCACTGATTACATGTGTCAAGTCAATTCACCCTGCCAACTGGTGTGATCACTGGGTCACTGATTACATGTGTCAGTCAATCCACCCTCCCAACTGGTGTAATTACTGGGTCACTGATTACATGTGCCAGTCAATCCACCCTCCCAACTGGTGTAATCACTGGGTCACTGATTACATATGTCAGTCAATCCACTGTCCCAACAAGTGTAATCACTGGGTCACTGATTACACCTG